GTGTGTCCCGCTCAGCTTCTGGTAACCAGTGAGGTCATTGGTTGCCAAGAGTTGAGCGGGACGCCGGCCAGAGCATTCGTGGTTGCTAAGAGCTAGGCAGGGAGATGTGTATGGCCCTTACCCAGGTCTTAGCAACCTGGGACGCTCTGGCCAGAAAGGAAGGTGGCAGACACACTTTAAACACTGCCTGCCGCCCCCCCTTGTGACTCGTAGAGATGCTGCCATGCATACAGTCATCATGCATGGCAGTTTCTGAACAACTGACTCCAGCTCTCTCCTTTCTTCTCCCCTGAGCAGTCTCCAGCAGCCATTCACCTACTAGCTTGGAGAAGGGAGCAGGAAGCAGAGGAGTGTCTTGCCTTGCTGTGTCTTTGTGTTTGTGGAGGCACACACAGCTTTCTAGCACACACATAGGATTCTGCAAGGGAAAGCAGACACCCTAAAACAGGATATCGGGGCCAGTGCTCAGGAAACCAGCTGATTCTGCAGAAAACAAAAACTTATAAACATCAAGGAGCAACGACCGCTGTAAGTGATTTGATCAGCGTTTGAAATAGCTTAAAACCCTTTTGACTTTAATATCACTTTAATTAATAACAGACAGAAGTATAAATGTGTTTATTACACATATTAGAGCCCATTATCACTAGCCCACCTGCTAAGACGCTGTGTTTTAGTGGACAGGCTAGTGCCTCCTGACATCTCCAGTGTGTAGGTGGTGGGAAACCTTGTTTTCCATGTGCCATAGATAGCAGTGACTGGTGTTCAGTTGCTGAAAAATGCCAGTCACTGCATATAGTGTGAATGGGCCCTTATAGCTTCCATTATCCTTACTGAGGGGCCACTAAGTTGAAGGTTTGATGATGTAACCGTCTCCGCAGCTCCTCAAGGAAACATTTATAAATGTGCCGACTTGCCATGGTGAAAACCTAGAGTACTGTAGCAGGTGTCTTGTATGGTGCCAGCTACCGAGCCACCATAAAGAATTTGGTGATCATATTCCCAGTAAGGGGGGAATTATTACAGGATTATAACACCTCCCTTCTACATTTTCTGTGGGCACACTTTGCAAATAATGACTTAACTCTGACTTGCCTGATCTGGATAGGTGATTCAATGAATTAGAGATTATTTGACAACTAGTATTTCCAGAAGGAGGTCAGCAATGGCAGCTAACCTAATTCACTCACAACAGCTTTCCTTTAACTAAGAAGCAGGTTAGGGGACAACAATTCATATTGGAAGCTCTATGCACCAATTACTGCTTGTATGTTTTCATGAGGTTTGGCTTTCGCATGATGTTTTCCTATGTGCTTTTGCTTTGTTGTGTCACTCCAGCATATTGTAACCTGCCCATACACAGTCTTCAAGCTTCTCGGCCTTCCCTTTGATTAAAGAACAGTAGTAAAACTATGGCCCCCCCTCGGTTGCAGCTCCCCTTCCGACAGTTTGATTAATAAGCTTAAAACACAAATTGAAATGAAAAGAGAAATGAACTCCAGGTGCCTGGGCACCTTGTGCACAAAGAGCCGGGCCTGACCGGCCATACAATGCCATTCATTCCCACACCTGAGGGATTGAAGGGAGCCAGCGTAATTGCTGTAACTCTTATTAATGTTCTGACATAATTCCTATTAATTCCACAGGGCTAGTAAATGCATTAAGACTTGTCAACATATTATTTGACACGGTTTATGATCTGTAGAATTATTCTCCTCTGGATTGGGCAGCGCTGAAGAAAGGGCCTGCTCTTTACCTCAGAGAAAGGTCTTTTCAGGCTGGCCAGAAGCACTTTTTCAAGGTGGTGATGCCTGAGCTTTTAATCAATAGCTAGCAGTGTCTTTGGTGTTAACAGAGAAGACAAAGTTAAAAAAAAAAAGGAAAGTGGAGTCAAGTTGTTAATATTGCAAAGTAATTTTAATTGGGCTTTCAGATTTGACTTGCATGGCTTCCTGCAACTCAGGCAGTATGATCAGTATCCATGCTGAATGACTGTAAAGAAAAAATGAAGCTCAGGTTAAGCCATGTTCATGTTTTATGCAGTAAATCCCAATACTGACTGTCACTTAAAGCTTAGGTCAAGGCAAAAAAAAAACAAACAAGAACATATTACATACATCTTTGCAATCCATGCACATTTCGTTATGTTTTATACAGTACAGAAGAATAGCTGTTGATGGGCCAGAAATTTAGTGTGCTCCCACCTTCCTCTTTGACATGACAACACAGTGGGGGGAATTTATCGAACTGGCACAGATGGAATCTGGAGCAGTTGCCCATGTCAGCTTCTCTCTTCAGTTTGTTCAGTTAAGCTTTCAAGATTAAAGATAGAAGGTGATTGGTTGCCATGGGCAACTGCTACAACTCCTCAGAGCATTTTCAGCTCTGATTTCTAAAAAAGGTGGTGTCAGCCCTGCCTATGTCTTTTCTGATGGAATACACAGAATACAGCCCTCTCTTCATCTCCATCTTCCTGTGGTCTCTGCCCTGGTGTACAGGCAGAGACCACAGGAAATTATGAACTCACACGATTCCTGGCCAAGTTATTAGGCAACTTTTACACTTATAAAACAGATTTAACAAAACGCTTCCAATGGCAAAAAGCAGCAAACTGGAGAATGTTGTTGTTAGGGTTTACACACACTTTAGAGATATTAAAACTGTTAGAGGTGCCTGCACATCCCTGCGACAGCTTTAATTGTTCCCGAATAACAGCAATTTCACACCATATGTGTTGGGGCTGAGCTGGTCGTTTTTCCCAGTGGTGTGCACTGAAAAAAAGTACTCCATGCAGTGCTTTTTTTCAGTGCAGTGTGATGTGACCCAGTACAACCGCCTTGCAACGCACTCTGCCCATAGAATGTAATGACATGTTACTTGTGACATTTCAATTAACTTCTAAAAAAAAGTACACAGTGTGATGCGCTGTGTACTTCAGCCGTCGTAGTACGAATTCCAAGCAGTGCTGCCAGCTGCTGTGCAATGTAGCTTGTAATGGGCCAAACTCTGACATCTCCGAGTGGTGCCAGAGCTTGTTTGGTCCTTCTTGCTCCCCCCTTCCCCACATTCTAATAGGGTTATCACCACAATGGGCTGTTTCTCAGACCAAAATGAATGTGAGGAAGGGGTAGGCAAGCTTCATCACTACAAGGAATCCAACAACTACACGGCATTAGGGCATACAGAGTGTTATTAAAGCTGCTGCAAGTATGGCAGTGCCTGTATACTTAACATTTGTTGGAAAATATATTCTTTGAAGCTTGTATTAGATAGATAGATAGATAGATAGATAGATAGATAGATAGATAGATAGATAGATAGATAGATAATTTTCTATCTGATTAATTGATTCATCGAAAAAATAATCGCCCAACTAATTGATTATGAAAATATTAATTATTTGCAACCCTAATAATGTTTTAAAATTTTTAAAAAAATATTCTTTGATATTTTCTGGTACCTTTTGATCTATAAAAAAAGAAGGTGTTAAAGTACTGCCCATAGCAAGCAACCAGATCTAGAGCAGAATATTCTGGCTAAATCCTGAAGATTTCCTATGATTATTAATGTTTGTCTTTTGCACTTGGATTGTGATATTTTCAGTTTTGTATTAATATTGTACTATGAACTCATTCTTACAATCTTACAGTTGTCATATAAGTTGTTGTATATACCGTGTTTCCCCGAAAATAAGACACTGTCTTATATTTTATTTGGCTCAAAAAAACGCACTAGGTCTTATTTTTTTTTAATGTACAACAATCCACACTTATTACCGGGAGAAGATTTACAAGACAGGAGTGATTGTCAAAGTTAAGAATATGGTGATCAGGGCAATCAGGGGTGTCGTACCTTTCCAAGAGTAATTTGGTAACAAATCGCTGTCCAGAATGAGTGAAGCGCGCTTTCACTATTGATTACTATTGATTGACTATCATCACAGGTGGAGTGCATTTGGTATCACTCCGCTTGTGACTGGAGACGGCGCTATAGAGGAAGCATCGGCTTATGCGGCTCTGCTCCCTCCGGTGCCGCCTCGCTTCCTCTAGCGCTGGCTTTGTTGGCAGCGCTTATTCTCTCCCACGGCTCTTCAAATTCCCCCTTATGCCACCACCGGCCCAGGGATCGGTCACAACCAGGTTTTATTTTCGGGGTAGGTCTTATATTTTAGCAATTCCCAAAAATAGTACTAGGTCTTATTTTCGGGGTAGGTCTTATTTTCGGGGAAACAGGGGTAAGTATTACTATTTGGACATTTAGAATTTAGAAAATAAAATAGTTGTTAAGCGCTTACTGGTAACTTAAGCAGCTCTGTCACAGTACATCCTGCTTTGAAAATAGAACATCCTGCAGATATTCGGCTATTGGTCTGTGTAGGGTTTTTAGATTGTAAGCCCTCCTTACCATCTTGTCTTGAATTGTATTGTGATTGTAATGTCTTCCTTATATTGTAAAGCGCTGCGCCAACTGTTGTCGCTATATAAATCCTCTATAATAATAAGAAGAAGAATAACTCCTAACTAGTTATGCATGGTTGTGAGCACAATATTGCATGCACATATTTTTCAGCATGTTGTAAAATACTAGCAAACTTTCTCTTTTTACTATAGACAAGAGAAACAAAATGCTCAAAAACATGCACATTGTCTCAGTGTGTTGGAGGAATCCTGTAAAATGTCCCAGTGGTATACAGTCCCAATGAACACCAACAGATGTCTTACCACTAGTCTCAATTACTGATCTGCTTGTATACAGCGACATGAGGACTCAGAATTGCTAACTACATGAATTTCTATCAGTTAGCCCCCTTCCATTGTAACCACTGGCACATGCAGAGTCAAAGGATTCCCTAACCCTTTTACACGCATAATTAGAATGTATCAGAGTCTTATTATATATTGTCACACCACACCTTCATGTTCAGATAATGCTGGCGGTATGTGTTCTCTTATATGACACAGTGGTAATTTATCCTGATATCCTGTCTTCACCCTTTGCAGGTAGTGAGTATGACGAGGAAGAAGTGGACTATGAAGACTCAGATAGCGATGAATCCTGGACCACAGAGAGTGCCATTAGCTCTGAAGCAATCCTGAGCTCCATGTGTATGAATGGAGGGGATGAGAAGCCATTTGCCTGTCCAGTCCCTGGATGTAAAAAGAGATATAAGGTAAGATGGGACATGAAGCTTTGTTGTAAGAGGTTGTAAAATCAACACACAACTGAACTATAGAGGGAAGGTAACTTCTAACAGCTTTTCTTGGTTTGGGCTATGCAATACCTCTTATGTGATGCACAATATTTGATATAAACTCCCACATATACTCTAATAAAATATGGCGAAAGCATATGCAAAAGGATCTGTCACAGGGCCATGGTGGTCATCAAATCTGACCAATGTGACTGTTCAGTGTGGGTGACGAGTAATGTGGTGTAGAGGACAATAAAAAAAACTTGTGCAGGAACCACATGCATGGACAGATGACCATGTCTTCCATCTTGTCTTTATGATATATGTATGATAAATACAGGGCCTACTTATCAGGATTGCCCATGACTGCGTGCTCAGTCTATGTATGCACACGTTCAACTATTATATCAATTAAATTGAATCTAAAGCAAAAAAAAAAATTTTACATTTTGTATAGAGTGGAAAATATCTAGAACTCCTATCTGGTTTTAATTGCTATCTGTGTCCTCAATGGATAGACTTACCCTCTCAATATATTCTAGTGACCAGTGTCACCGGGGCTGAAAGTGAGAGAAAATCCCAAATTTTAATTTGTCACTACAAAAGTATCATCTTCCAGTAGGAAGACTTGCTTCAATGACAACTGTCTAAGAGGGAAGAGACTTTATTTTGGAGTGACTTACTCTGATTCCTAGTGTCTATGGGACAGGAAATGATGGCAAAACAACCCGACAGGTGTCTTTAGATATATCTTATGTTCTCATATAGATAAAAATTCATCCCCCAAAATGTACTTTGGGCTTATCGTTCAGCCAGCATCAGTTCACCGGAAATGAATGACATCATTGTAATTTTGACTGCTCACCGTTGTAGTAGAACCAGCTCTGGAATTCTGGAAGTTCTGATATATTGAAGCCACGAATATGGCAATAGCTAGTTACCGCTTTTGTGTACATAGCATTCCAGTACCCCTGTATACAAGGTAGAGATTTTTGGAGCTCTTAAAAATAAGTATGAAAAGTAGCTGGGGCATCTGATTTAAAATATTTTTTGGCAAATACATACATGATTTAAACCTTAAAGTGACACAAAACCCAGAAGTGAAATCCTAAAAATGCATTTAAGTACCTTAACTATTAACAAATATGTAGCTTATTTGTATATCACTCAGATGTAGATCCTCAAATCATCTCTGAGTTCATGCTGACACTGTCCTTTCTTCGGGAGGGTGGCTACTTTTGTTCCCCCTGGTCCCTGTCTGTGTTGTAAAGTAGTCACTGCTCCAAGCTCACTCCTGTGATGGACTACAATCGCAATACAAGTTAGTAAACTACACATGAGATTGTAGTTCATCACAGGAGTGAGCTTGGTGTGGTGGCTACTTTACAACACACACAGGGACCGTGGAGAACAAAAGTAGCCACCCCCAGAAGGAAGGATTCAGTACAAATTCAGAGATGATTTGAGGATCTACAGTCGAGTGATACACAAATAAGATACATTTTTGTTAATAGTTAAGGTATTTAAATGCATTTTTAGGATTTAACTCCTGAGTTTAGTGTCACTTTAAAGTTTAATAAAGTCTGGAGTACTGTTAGTATGTTAGTTAAGTGGTAACCTGTAGCTCATCTCACCTTTAAGAGACACTATACATATAATGTAGTAAAGCACAGTGGCTTAGTGGTTAGCACTTCTGCCTTGCAGCACCAGGGTCCTTGTTTGGAATCCAAACCAAGATTCTACCTTCATGAAGTTTGCATGTTCTCTTTGTGCTTGCATGGGTTTCCTCCGGGTACTTGCTCACATTTAATACACATGCTGGTAGGTGAATTGGCTCCTGTCTAATCTGGCCCTAATATGTGTATGTATGCATGTGAGATGGGGACCTTAGATTCGGGAAATGATGTAACAGTACAGTATTTAAAGTGCTATGTAAATTGCTGGCTTTACCTGCAATAGTACAAAATAATAAGTATATGAAGCCTACACGCCAACCCCACTTCAGCTGGTAGTAGGGCGAGCAAAGGGCGCCCAGAACCCTGCAGCACAGACCTACTCTGGCCAGGTGCCAATATCTGCATCACATCCCAACCTGGGACTGTGATGACCTCCCTTCTGGTCATGCTGATAATCATTTTTACTAATTTAGCCAAGCTTTAAGACTTCGCAGCTGGTCACAACAAATTAAAGGAGTCTTCTCTTTTATTAGAAATACAATTATTTTAAACAGGTCGTTCCACCTTACTTTCCAAAGCTAGTACCTTCTCCATCCATTTCATTGCATGGCTTAGAATCTCCCACACGACACATGTTACAGTCTTGCTGGAGGCTTTTTGAAATTTTGTTCTGCTCCCTTCCATGCACACCTTCATCTTTTACTTGACAATATAATTGCTGGCGTTTTCAGCTGCTTTCCTAATTGCCTTTGTCCCCCGTTCATGCCTAGAGGTACATGCACATTTAATATTGCGTATTGAAAGGGAGAGACTGTAAATAAAAGCGTATTAAAGCAGCAATTAAATGCGGTGTCCCTGTCGCTGCGCCTGCAGAGGGGGTGCCTGGGGCTGTCGCTGCTTTGACTGGCCCTCTTTCTTCTGTAGCCTCTTGACTCTCTCAGTAACACTTGTGTCTCACATGATGTTTATTCCTGTCCGTTTAAACCTCTAATAGTGTGAACATATTTATGGCGCAGCCAGATACAATAAATTAGTGTTAGCCTGGTATTCTGTGGTACACCCAGCTACTCTACTGTATGCGGCTCTTGTTTTTAATTATGGCACCATTAGTGCACCCAGAGTTCCTGGCTGATGGCAGCTGTCAAGATGTTTTTTTTTTGCCTCTTTGTCTGGGACTGGTGGTCAGCTCTTTGAGACTTTCAAAAATGCCACCAATGGTTATTAGACAGACGCATCCTTTCCTTTTCAAGGATACAGTTTGTTTATGAGGAAAGTGCTGGCAGTGGGAGGGTGTATAGTAAACCAGACAATGTCTTCAGCCAGGAAGCAAACAAGCCATTGTGACTGTAAGAAGGGTGCATTTTCCCAGGGGGCATCTGCCTACTGCAGCAAGTGTTCCTTCAGAAGAGAAAAGCTGGAGGTAGAGGTCTGTAATTTGCTACATCCTGTCTGTTCTCTGTTTGACTGCCAGCCCTCCTTTTATTGCCCAAATAAGCAAACTGTTCCTGCCTGCTTTTCCTATCACACCACCTTCATCTCCAGTGCACAAGGACTGTCTCAAGGATATCTTGCACACCATTAAGTTACAAGGGGAAGGAATTAATGAGGCACGAGAAAGCTGACAAACATGGAGAGGGCAGGAAATAAAAAGTAATGATACAGGGAGTTGAATAAACATAAGGTGTGCTTTTTTCTTCCTCTCCAAGGCTTTTGTGTCAGGTATCTTGTCAAACACAAGATCAAATATTCCATTTTATTAAAGAGCCCAACATATATTATAGGACTGTCCCTTCCACAGTATCTCGCTTTCCCAGCCAATGTCTGCAGCATCCAAGTTCTTGAAAGGTTTGATTAAGTGTGACCAGTTTGGATAAGCGCTTGCATGGTATCAGAAATATAATCTGCGCTAATATTAGTATAAAGACACAGCAAGCAAGTATATGTGAAACAACATGGCCTGTGGTCTACCAGGGAATTAAACCTAAGGAGAAAACAATATTATCCTGTCATAAATAATATCTCACCTATGGCCATGTTTAGGTTCAATGGCATTAAGTGTTCAGGCTGGGTTCCTATTGTTGCGCTGCCGCAAGCACGTTAACATGTTATGCCGTGCGTTACCATGCACTGTGCTAAGGCAGACCGAAAGAGTGACCTAGCTCACCACAAAAGTGCATGCAGCATTTTCGGAAGTCGCACGACAATGCGTGTTAGTGTGTTGGTACATAATGTAGTGCACTGCAACGCAGTTTTAGGGTTAAAGTGATATTAAAGCCACATTGTTTTTTTCATTTCTTCTTTAAGGAGACCTTTGCTGGAGGCTGTTGTTTAAAAAAAAAAAAAAAAAAGTTTTTCATTCCTCGTTTTCTAGTGGGTCCCCACCATGCTCTTCCCCCCGCCCCCTGCACGGGTGCCACCATCGTTCTAATGGAGGCACCAGTGCGCACTCGTCCCCGCGGTGGCTGTGTGCGTCTATAGACACACACAGCCCTGTGGTAGGCCACGCCCTTTACTTCTTTGATTGATGGCAGGAGGAGCCTACAGCTCCTCTGCCATCAGTATCCTCTACCCGCAACCCGGAAATTTGGGGTACGGAGGGTCGCTTCAGGACCGGCGGCGGGGATGAGCGCAGCTGACAGCTAAGTCTGGGGGGGACTGGGGTAAAAAAAAAGGTGCTGGGCTGTTTTTACCCTAATGCAGTGAATGCATTAAGGTAAAAAACGTCCAGACCCTAATACTACTTTAAGGTTATGCATTGGAGATTTTAATTAAATTAAGGAAAGGGACAAAATATATTGTTGGGTTAGGGGCTAAATTTTAACCCCAAGCCCAATGAATAAATGATTTCACAGAAAAATCACACAGCTTTTAACAAAGACTCACACATTTTTCTAATTGTATTCAATCGGAAACGTTTGAAACCTGTGTAAAGTTTGCACGAAAGAATTATAAATAGATGTATGTTAGGTTCCTTCCTGTGTGTTTTCCTTCCACTTTTTTTTTTTTTACAGATGCCGTACTGAGATATCTTCAGAGCCACAATTCACAGTCAGCCATGTTTTTAGCTTTTAGGAATGTTGCCTGAATTCATCATTTGTCATCCTTATTGCAGTTTACCCAGGCAGTAAAACCCCTTTACAAGATTGGCAGTGTTCTTCCCCTCATTCCTCCATACCTTGGCAAACTCCACCAAGACACACAACAAAATGTTGACATTAGCAGAGTGGAAAAAGAAGTAGCAAGTCCCCATTAATTATAGCAACAGAATTTATTTCTCTCTTACTCACTCGGATCCGGCTCCAG